AGATTATAAACATATGAAAATCTTGAAAATGGACGGTGTAGATAATATGTTGTAAAATGCACTACTTTTTAGACTTAAAATCTTTTTATTTTTTATGGTCATACATCTCGATGTCGAGATGATCAATCAAAGGGTTTTTAAACATTAAAACTACCTTTTCCAATGGATTTTTTAAGTGCATCCAATATATATATAGTCAGCTTCATTGATAGATGTGGTGATCACATAAAATTCTAGTTGCACATCTCCACCTCGCCCACCCAGCTTTAATTCTATGTACAACATCTTCCTCAATCTTTCTATTTTTCTGAATTATCGACTTTCTTGGCCCGTCAATCTTAACTACTTTCCTCGTCTCTACATAAAATTGCATTCCATATACTGTCTTAGTCTGACTAATTTTAAAACCTTTAGATTTTAGAGCATCTCTCCAAAGTTCTAAATTTGTGCCACTTCGGGTCTCATAGATTAAAACTTTGTTGTCCACGAACAACATACACCCCAACCGATCAGGACTTAAAGTCCATACTCTCAGACTCCTCAAAGGACATCATTTCTAGAAACATCCATTATCCTTATGATAATAATAGAGGATGATCATATGGCTAAATGCCAACAAAAATAGAAGCAATTTATCTAAAAGATCATATGCATCCTAATATGGGAGATAAATGCAGAAATTATTTTGAGGCAATACTGACAGAAACTGGGTTAGTCAGCATAACCCATGCAAAATGTTGGGTGATGTATAGATTAAGGTATTAACCACATCTTCCTCTTCTATTGGGGCCTCTTGTTTAACCCTTGGACTGGTTTCAACCCACACACTATATTTTCTCTTAGCTTTTATAATTTGGTTTTTATCATTGTCTTTTATACAGAAGTCCCACCAACCTCTTAATTCGCCTGTAAAACCACAGACTATAGCTCTGGCAATGTCAAAGTCTTTATTGCCATTTTGTTTTGTAGCTGTAGCATACATTATCATATGCCTCATCAGATTGATTATCTAATATTCAGACTTTCCGTCAACATTCCATTCCACAATAGACCTATTGTCATATTGGGCTAGTTTATCTATATAGTCTTCTTCAATTTGAAGGGCTACTGGGGTTGGCCTAGTGTAATACATCTTTGTAGGAGCCGTCAGGGTTGTCTTTCTTTCATAAGAAATCCAATGTATCCTGAAATCCTGCATTTCAGAACTACAAAAAATTTGCTCTAAATGATTTTATTCTTCTTCTAATAAATTAAATGTGGTCATTCTACTGGAGAGTATTAACTTGGTCCTTATTTTTTCTCGAAGTGGTTGGGTCCTTTGAATGGTATAACTTGGCTAATCTACCCACCAGCTCATCTATAAACTCATTATTTTCTTTTTTGAAAGGATGCAGTTTAAAAGTATCTTTGTTTATACTGGGGGGGAGGCTTGAACATTACTGATTCTTTTGCCTTTTCTTTTTTAATGTTTTCCTTATTAAGGAGGTTTTCAATCCTAGTTGTCTGTCTACCTAAGGATTGCAGATATAGGTTAGTATAATTATTTTGTTCGATAAATGGTTTAAACAAAAAACTCAAAATAAAGAATAGTTGGTAAGATACACTTTTGGTGTTTGAAAACCAGCACAAGAAAAGTATTCAATAGTGAAAAAAAGAAATTTTAGCCTTGGTACATTGTATCACCAAATTTGAAAGTGATCTAATCAATCAACAATTTCTTATAAAAACAGATTGTAAAGCCGCAAACAAAAGCATCTCCATCCTCGTCCTTAATAAGGATACCGCAAAGTCAGATTGAAATATCACCCCAACCTATCAGGACAAAGTCCATACTCTCAGACATCGTTAAAAAAAACAGACCGCCCAGTGCCTAGGCGGTCCAGAAGGCCTGGGCACATCGCCTAGGCCTAGGCGGTCAAACTCGGCGCTCTTCCTTGGGCGGCCGCTTAGGCGGTACGGAATTTGCCTAGGTGCCCAAAACCTGTGCCCCGCCCAGAGGCAGAAAACTTTTTTTTTTTTTCATTTTTTTCAAAGATATAGAAGTTAAGAATGATGGCTTTTGGGTTCATTTGAACCCTAAACCACCAGAACCCCTTTTAGAGTAACATAAACCTCCAAACAACTACATTTCATTGGATCGAATCATCGAAATGTTTCTCAAAGTTTGGAGTTTAAGCAACCAAAGTTAGTGCATATTTTAGATTGCTTGTTTTATTTTGAGATGTCTTCTTCAGGAGTTAGTCGTAGTGGAGATCCGGTTTGGAAATATGAATACCATCTGAATCCAATGACAAAAATTACGTTAGATGCAATTTTTATGAAAAAGATACAAAAAGAGGCATAAACTGGTTTAAGAAACATCTTGTCGGTATTAAGGTGGATGTTGCCCTTTGTAAAAATGTTCTTGAAGCTATCAAGGAGGAGATTGAGCAATTTTTAAGTTATAGAAAACAAAAACAAGAACAAAATCCTTGTCATAAATCTATTTTTGCTACTCCTAGAAAAAGTGATCCGGGTTGGAAGTATGGGTACAACCCAAAACCAAATGATAAAAATTGTATAAGGTGTAATATTTGTGAAAAAGATATCAATGGGGGTATTAGCCGATTTAAAAAGCACATTGCTGGTGTTAGAGATAATGTTGCTTCTTGTACAAAGGTTTCTGAAGCAGTTCAAGATGAGATTAGACATCTTTTGAATTTTGAAGAAGAACCCAAAAAAGATGAAAATAAGCCTTGTTCTATGGAAGTATCTTCTTCAGTTTTTAGTCGTAGTGGTGATCCGGGTTGGTAGTATGGTTATAACCTGAATCCAAGTGATAAAAATCGTATTAAATGTAATTATTGTGGAAATGATACTAATGGAGGCATTTAGCGGTTTAAAAAACACCTTGCCGGTATTACGGGGGATGTTGCTCGTGTAAAAATGTTCTTGAGGCTACCAAGGAGGAAATTATACATTATTTGAGTTCATAGAAGCACAAAAAAACGGTAGAGCAGCCAAAACTCCTAGGCCCTCATCTGCACAGACTGCACATACTAGTAAGAGGAAGGTAGAAGAAGAGGAGGAGGAAGAGGCAGATTCAGAAGAAACAAAGGAGGACGAGCATTATATTGAAGAGGGACATGACTCTGATGATGATGACCTCGACTCTGATGCATGTGATGAGGCTTGCCCTATTGATATTCCTTCTGATGATGATGATGATGACTGAAAACTCTTGCCTCTTGGTGCTGACTGCTGAGTGTTGAGTCTGTTGACTGTTGTGTTGAGTCATGAGTGTTGACTTTTGTTAGACTGTATATTTTCTAAATTTCTGTTGTGTTGAGTGTTGATTTTTATATCCTACACTTGTATGGTTTTACTGTTTACTGTTTTAACAATATGGATTATCAAAATTCTCCTCCACTTCTATTTGTTTTTTTTTTTTTTTCAACTTGGAATATGGTATATTGGGATTTTTACTTTTTTTTTCAACTGGGCAGCCGCCCAGGTTCTGGGCGCCCTCCTAGGCGCTAGGCGGCCTAGACCCCCCAAGCCGCGTAGGACCCACCTAGTGCTTTTTGATACACTGCTCTCAGACTCCTCAAAGGACATCATTTCTAGAAATCCATTATCCCTATAATAATAATAGAGGATGAGCATATGGCTAAAATGCCAGCAGAAATAGCAGCTATTTATCTAAAAAATCATATGCACCCTAATATGGGAGATAAATGCAGAAATTATTTTGAGGCAATACTGATCGAAACTGGGTCAGTCAGCGTAACCCATACAAAATGTAGGGTGATAGTATAGATTAAGGTATTAACCTCATCTTCCTCTTCTATTGGGGCCTCCTTTTAACCTTTGGACTGGTTTCAACCCATACACTATATTTTCTCTTAGCTTCTATAATTTGGTTTTTATCATTGTCTTCTAACAGAAATCCCACCAACCTCTTAATTGGCCTATAAAACCACAGGCTATAGCTCTGGCAATGTCAAAGTCTTTATTGCCATTTTGTTTTGAAGCTGTAGCATACATTATCATATGCTTCATCAGATAGGTTATTAGATATTCAGACATTCCATCAACATTCTATTCCACAATAGACCTACTGTCATATTGGGCTAGTTTATCTATATCGTCTTCTTCAATTTGAAGGTCTACCGGGGTTGGCCTAGTGTAATACATCTTTGTAGGAGCCGTCGGGGTTGTCTTTCTTCTATAAGAAACCTTATTTATCCCGAAATCCTGCATTTCAGAACTACTAAAAATTTGTTCTAAATGGTTTAGTTCTTCTTCTGAATAACTATGGTCATCCTCCTGGAGAGTATTAACTTGGTCTTTGTTTTGTCCCGAAGTGGTTGGGTCCTTTGAAAGGTCCAACTTGGCTAATCTACCTACCAGCTCATCTATAAACTCATTATTTTCTTTTCTGACAGGATGCAGTTTAATATCTTTGTTTATATTGGGGGGAGGCTTGAACATTACTAGTTCTTTTGCCTTTTTTTTTTTTTCTTTTTTGTAATATTTTCCTTATTAAGGAGGTTTTCAATCCTTGTTGTCTGTCTACCTAAGGATTGCAGATATTGGTTATAATTATTTTGTTCGATAACATGGCTTGAACAAAAAATTCAAATAAAGAACAGTTGGTATGATACACTTTTGGTGTTTGGAAACCAGCACAACAAAAGTATTCAACAATGACAAAAGAAATTTTAGCCTTGGTACACTATACCACCAAATTTGAAAGTGATCTAATCAATCAACTATTTCTTATAAAATCAGATTGTAAAGCTGCAAAAGATATTTTGGAAAAAGATGTTAAGAATTTGTTTTCTAAACAAATCTTTGCCAGATGGCATGCTATTCTTTCATCATTTGATTTTAAGATGGAACATATTAATGGTGATCAAAGTTCCTTGCTTGCCTTTTTGACTCGAGAATTTCTGCAGGGACAAAAGGAATCAGAAAGCTTTGGCTCTAATTTAGAGTACAAAGGCCCTAACAAAAGCATCGCCATCCTCATCCTTAATAAGGACACCGCAAAGTCAAATTGAAGTATCACCCCTACCTATCAGGACTCAAAGTCCATACTCTCAGACTCCTCAAATGACACCATTTCTAGAAACATCCATTATCCCTATGATAATAATAGAGGATGATCATATGGCTAAAATGCAAGCAGAAATAGCAACAATTTATCTAAAATATCATATGCACCCTAAAATGGGAGATAAATGCAGAAATTATTTCGAGGCAATATTGACCGAAACTGGTCAGTCAGCATAACCCATAATTACAGGAATAACAACAATATTCTAGTATTTTCAAAAATGTAAATACTGAATATTATCTCTTAAAGATAAGAGCCTTTAAGATAAAATACGGGATTTGATCCCGTAAAACCAAGATATCTTAAAGATAAGAGCCTCAAGATAAAATCTTATCATTATTATGATTATATCAAAGCATGGGATATGATATTTTCATACCACAATCCAACGGCAGGTCATAGTTGGTTTATACAATTCAGACTGAAATCTTAGAGGATTTCCCTAACTAGTTCAAAAACTGGTTTCTAGTAAAGGGATCCAATTCAGATATCCTTCCTACTGAGTTACAAGAATCCCAGAAAAGATTATTTGATTACAATAGAAATGCCCCTAAAAGTAACCTCCATATTCATTTTATTTCATTATATGAGATTCCATGGATTATGAGGTGGACTTATATAGCCTATGAAGATATAGAAAGATGGGACTATATCCTTGAATTACAGAGGGAAGTCTATATCAGGTGGTGGGATAAACATGAGACGACCCCACTCATCAAAACTTGGTCCTTAAATGTATCAAAAAATATGATCCTATTATTAAAATGGAGTCTCCTAATGAGATAATGGATTATGTTAAAACAATACAAAAGAAAAATCCTAAATTGTTCTAAGCAGAGCTTAAAAAATAGCTACTCAGCGCATTAGAAGAAGACGAAACAGATAACATGTCTTCCTCTTCAGTAAAAGAAGAAGAAGAAGTAGATATGGCCGATCTGAATGGTGATGACTGCTATGGGATTCTTCCATCAGTATCTAGCTAAAAAGTATCTACTTTAATAAAGAAAAAGGGACGGCCCGACTCCACATCATCCAAGACACGTGTCCCAGGAATATTTACTTTCCACCGACAACTGTGCGGACTTAAAACATTTTGAAGTCCACCGACACAGACTTAAGAGGTGTTGAAGTCCGAATGTGAAAGTCTATAAAGGAACCTTTGACAGAAGGCTGGGTATCAGTTGTTCAGAGTGTTTTTAGAGTCTAAGGACCTGGAAATATATTATCTATGAAATATATTACTACTGTAGTACATTACTAGCGTAATACATTTTCTGAAAATGAATTGTTGTTGTTTGGGTAGTATCTGGGTACAACCTAGGAAATACATTGTTACTGTTTGGCTACATACAAAAGGAATCTGGGAAATGCATTATCGTCATGTTGGCTTGAAAATATTGCGTGAATTTTGGCTAGATGCTTTTTTGTGACAAAATATCAATTGAAATTAAAACTACCGAACACATCCTCAATTTATATCATGATGTCAATAGTTACCTTAAAAAAAATCTACCAAGACCGAGACATTTATTAATGTTCTATGGCAATACTAATCAACACAAATTTGATGTGGATGACTTGAACTTTGTGAATGGAAAAAATGAATAGCAACACCATCTTCCCAATCTCTTTCCAAGGCCTGTTAGGCACAAACACTAGATCATTCAAATCAAATAGATGCACTTGCCTATAAACTATCATCACCACATAGGGCATAACTAGAATGTCAACCGCAACCAAAACAAGTGAAGAAGTTTTGAGCAATAGAGAGAAGAGGGAGCTATATTAATAATATTTTTATAACTTTTATTCAATTATAATTATAAAAAAAGCTAAAAATTAATATTAATATTATTTTAAAATAAAATTTTAAAATAAAAATATTGTTCAATTGTGGAATGCTTTTTTATTATATGATTTTAAGAAATTTATCATAATACACATTATTTTTTAACTACTTAATATTTTACCCTTTTGCTAATATTTCAACTCAAAATTATGTATTTCACAAGCATATTTTTATATTAAATTAAAGCACATATCTTAAAGGGTTGTATCGGCTTCATTTTGTGACACATGTATGAGGTTTTGATTACAAGTGCAAAGAGTGACTAAAAAGTGATAAATATATGTTATATGTATGCATAAACTATAGAGAGGGGGGGAGAAAGAGCTTCATTTTGGAGCACCTGTTTGAAGTTTTGATTGGACGTGAAGAGATGGGGAGAAATATCTATATTTATATGTATCCATAAAGTGAGAGATGGGGAGAAAGTGAGAGAGAACAATAAAGAGGTTTGGGTGTTGGACATCAAAAGCACTATTATAGAGCAAGTGAATACTCTCTGGCGGGTCCGTTGGGGCACAAGATTATCCGTTGTAGCCCGTAATACATTTCTTACCCTTTTGAGTGGAAAATAGAATTCATGCTTTTGGGACAATAACGGGTAATCTGTTTCCATTTCCCATTTGTTCGCTAATTACCCAAACGCTTGAATGGAGGATTTTCCAAAAATCCATTTCACCGTAATGGATTTTCAAGTACCCAAACAGCCCCTAAGAGTCATTTCTAAGTTTGCTCCAAGTGTTCTGTTAGAGTGAGTGTTCTGTAAGTGTGAGTCTGCGCTGAGAGTGAGCTCTAGTGGTGTGTCAAGCTTCCATTTGTTTGTCCAAGAGCTATTCATGTAAGTGTTTTATGTTATGTAATTGTTATAAATACTCTTATGTTTGTTTTGTGTTATTTTCTTTCCTTGTGCTATGCTGTATAGCATAACTTGGGTTTAATTGTCGTATATATATATATATATATATATATATATATATATATATATATATATATATATATATTCTATAATTTTAGCAGGACCAGCAAGATTAATTTTAACCACTTTTTAAACCTTGAACCTTATCCTAAACCTTACCCTAACTTAACCAAGCCCTTCCCATAACCCGAACCCTAGTTCTACTTGATTTTAACGTCAAATTATCCAATTCTACCCCAATTAGAAAACCTTCATGCGGCCCAAAGCCCTGTGATTTAATCTTTGTGGGAGCCTAGAATCCTTTAGAACTCCTAGATCATAACTCAATGTGAAATCCTAATCGTACTCGAACCTTTTCTTTGTATACCCTTGATGCATGTTACACTCTTGTAGGAGCCAAGTTCCTTTGGTCGTACATCATATATAGCTAGTGAAGTTTATGTCTCTATGCCAAGGCATAATGTGGTGAATATTTGAGGATCTTGGCTTTTGTGTGCTGATATTGGCATAAAGGCTGCAGCACAACATATGAGGTTCAAATTCCAGCTAATCTTGCCAAAAAGATAAATTTTCTATGGATTTTATGGATGAATTTGCATGATCAAACTAAATTTTAACGCTGAATCCTTTGTTTGTGGGTTTGGCACACATTAAATCAGATATGTTGTTTCTTAAGCTTTCTGTTTTTTTCATCTGAGTGAGATACGTTGTTTCTTAATCTTTCTTGTTTTTTCATCTGAGTTCTATGTGTTACATTGGACCTGGTATATTCTGGTATTTATTATGCATAGCATTATTGCAGGTCGATGGGGATACCAGTACAAATGATACAGTTATTGCATTAGCAAGTGGATTATCTGGATCTACACGAATTTCCTCATTAGACAGACATGAGGCCAAACAACTTCAAGCTTGTGTCGATGCAGTGAGTTTTCTCTCCCCTGAAACTCAAAGGCTGTATGTCTAATTTTGACAAATCCTAGATGGAGTCTCATTATGAAGTAGCGGCTTGAGAATAGTTTTTTCTGCTTATAGTTTGTTTAACAGTGAAAGTTTCACGCAATTATGTGTATGTCTGTTCCATTGGAACATGTGTGTATGGATATACTCTGTGGCTTATATGCTATGTCATAGCATGTGTAAATGAATTAGGTGTTTATATATACCCATATTTGTTCGTTTGCATCCATGCATGAGATACCCATATGTATTTCTTTGCATCCATGCATGGGATGGTACATGAACTAATTTTCATGCAGAAAATTGACACACGGTTTTGTGCACACAGTGTAGATCCATTTGTGCTTACATGTAAAGAGGGCACTCCATTTGTGTGTAGTAATCATTTCCTATCTTAATTTCAAACCCTTTCTTTGCTGATTTCTTATGTTCAGGCCTTAACTTATGATAACTTCTAAAAGAGCCATAATTTGACTTGGAAGGCCCTCTTTTTGAAAGTTACATGTTTGAAGAGCGTCCTACTTACCCAGAGCCAAGCAGCAGGTTCGTTTTGGTTTCCTCCAAGACTGAAACTATCTGGATAACTTCAGACATGGTTGAACTTAAACTCAATGGTAAAATTGACTGCTGTACATATTTTCCAGAACAATAATGTGACAACATGGAGCTTTATGCTTCACCTGTGCACCTTAATATATGGGACTACACATTGGCACTCTACTCACAACCGAAAAGGATTGGCATTTAGATTCTAGCGGTGTCTCTTTGAACTAGTGGAGCACTAATATTAGCTTCTATTTAGTTTCCAAGGAGTTTAGAGGAGTGAACTCTTGTTACACGATACAAGCCCAATATTGGCAATGGGACTTATGTTGTAACTATTTTGGTGCAGATTTACCATTTTGTAACAATAACAAAAAGAAGTAAAATAAGTGAATTACACATAAAATTTCCATTTTGGTAATGCATACGAATATCTCAGTCCTTGATTAGTTTATAATCAATCATAGTCTCCCATTATCTCTCTTCGCTTGGTAGCCTTTTATTTCTGTAAGTCCAATCCCACGGAAAAAAGGATTCATATTCCAGTATCATCATCCCCCGCCTCTCTCTTTCTCTCTCTCTCTC